GTAGCGGGTGAGCAACACGTACATGGTTGCACGCTTGAGGCCACCGGGCGGGACGGAAAGGTCTGCGACCCAGCATTCTTCCTTGAAGCTACGGCCCTGTACGAAGTAGTCGGTGACGGCGTAGTAGTCACCAAGCGGTACATTGACTCGACGTACATTTTTGGTGGTGGTGCCGGTGTTGGCGGCTGGCACGGTGATGTTTGCTGCCGGCGAGGGCCGTGGTACGATGGCGAAGGCAGCACCTTTGGCTGCGAAGTCCGATAAGTCTGCTAGCACCGCTTTGGGCGCGTGCCCTTTAATGGGACGGACCAAGACGGCTGCGGGTAGGTAGTGGAGGCGCCAGTACGGGCCGCGGCCGTCGTCGGGCGGTTCACGGCTGTCGGTAAGCAGGCCACACGCCTCGACTTCATTGTTGTGGCACGCGCCGGCGTCGGCAGCTGTGGTGTCGAGTAGGGTGTAGCGTGCACCCTCGTAGTACCAAGTGTCGGCGGTGGTGTGGTCGAAGGTGGCGTCTTTTACTCGCATTGCGACAGCCTTTTCGACGTGTGAGAGCGCCTGTTGTTGGGTTGCGCCATGTTGCCTAACCGGGACGTGGTCCGCATTCCAGCTGACCAAACGCGCTCCTTTGCGGCGCGCCTGGAGCATCAGGAGGCGTGTGTTGAGCGCGTGCCTGGGTTCGTTCCGTTGCAGCACGACGCGGGGTTCGAGGTCTGTGAGATCGGACAAATCTGTGATGACGCGTTGGTTGAGTGCGTCTACTAGATCTGCGACATGTGCTTCAGTGGTTGGAATGCCGCCGAACATGGTTGCGAAGCGGGTAAGCTGCTGGCCAGATGGGCTGTTGTCTTGCCGCTGCTGTTTCTGCAGCATGAATACGGTGCCGCCGAGCTGACGGTACAGGTTGAAGCCGTCGTGTAGGCGGGTGTGCGTCTGTGGCACAGGGCGACGAGTGCGATGTGTGGAGGTGGTGGCGCGACGGTTGCCGGTGTCGTCGTCTGCGTCAGTGTTGTCATTGTTGCTGTCATCATGACGGTGACCTCGACCTTCGTCAAGCGAAGCTGGTGTGCGTTGTGCTGTCGGTGCCGAGGGAGTGAACTGGGGGTTTCGCTCAACGTCGGCGGCGTAGCGGTACGGTGGTGAACCGCCTGGCTGAGGGTGCTGTAGCAGGTCGCCGATTCCGCCCGCGGCACGGCCGGATAAGATGCGGCTGCTGTCATGGGCGGGCCCAAGGTGTGGCGGAGGCGGCAGACTGGCTGTGCAGGAGTGGCTGATGGCGCCGAGGTGCTCGTGGCTTTGCATGCCAATTTCGTCGATGAGCACAGCGCCGTCGCCGACGTTGCGTTTTACTTGAAGGCCAGCATGTGCGCCGCGCTTAGGAAAGTTGGTGCCACGGGAGCCGCTTTGGCTGGCTGAGATGCCGAACATGGAGTGGGTAGATAGGCTGCGATGGACTGGGGTGTTGAACGCGATCGCGGCGGCCCAAGAGTATGCGCACGTGGCGGCCCAGTCAGGACTGTCATGTTGGTACGTGTACCACAGCAGTGCGTGTACGAACTGAGTCTTGCCTGTGCCCGGAGGACCCATGACGAGCATTTGCGGTGGGACACCTGGATCGGGTTGGTTGCGGCGGTCGAAGTAGCGTGCCATGAGCATGAATGGCACGGCCTGATCCGGCGCCAGGGTAAACAGCTCGATGGTTTCATCGATGGTCGGCGGCCGTGCTAAACGCAAGTAGGTTTGGCATTCCCGCTGTGATACGGTCAGATTGTTGGGTGCCGTTTACGAGTACCGCTACGAGTGGGTAGCCGGGGCGGGGATCCATTGCAGACGGGGTGTCCGTCAGTGGTGGTCGGGGTGGTTGTGGTGCCTTCAGAGACGACTAGATAGCGCTTCAGGCGCTTAGAAGCTTCACTTAGCAGCGCGACGTCAGTGGCCCGTACACGGCGAATGAAGGGGTTGGTGTTCGCGCCGAGTGCATCAGGGAGAGGAAGTACACGGCAACGGCGAGCTGCACCGTAGGCGTAGAGGCCTTCCACCGTGGTGCGGTCGTATAGGTCCGTTAGGGCGATGTCGGGTAGGTTGATCCCCATCGTCGGGTCGCCTTGGCCTGGCACAAAGTCATACCGTTCGACCTGGGCGTCTTGCGGCGGCTGTGTGGTAGGATCGGGTTCGAGATGGCGTCGTGCAGCTTCTGGGTCTTCATCGTCTGGGTCGCTGGAACTGTTTTCGGGAGCCAGACCGGCGTTTGCAGCGGCAGTACGGCGTAGGCGACGTCGCAAGTTGTAATCGGCTTGACGTCGGGCGCCAGCGATGTGTTCTGCTTCGATGTTGTCTAGTAGGACGCTGATACAGGCTCTGTATGATCGGCCAGTCTCAGTGGTTCCCAGGTCCATCCACCATGCGTCGTACGCCTCTTTCACTGTCTGATCGGCAGCCACTGGTTGGCCACGGTGGGCCTTAAAGACTCCTAAAACGAATGCATAGTAGGCGGTGGCGGCTGCGGTGGTGCTTTCTGCTTGCGGGCGACGGGGCAGTTTGCCACCCAACACAACGTACCTTGGTTGCGCTAGGCGATGAAGTACGTGCGTCAGATATAGGGGGTGCGTTGGTTGGAAGGCCACATTCTTGGGAGGTATGGTTGACGTTGGGTTAGTGGGCAGCTGTTCCACGGATGGGCCGGCTGGTGCAGGGGACGTCAATGGAGTGTCGGGCTGGTTGCCAGATGGAGCGCGAGGTGCGTCAGTCGTAGGGGTAATGGCGGCGCCAGGGACCTTGCGTTTGCGGCGGCCAGGTACGGCGTGGGTTTGAGCGCCAAGGACGGCAGCATGAGGGTGTTGCGCGGGTGTTACACGTTTCACCTCGAAGTTGGATGCGATGGTGTAAGCGCTGCAGTCCAAGCCGCTCAGCTCCACACCACGTTGCGTGTAGTTTTGCACAACGTTGGCGAGGGTGTAGTCGCCATGTTCGTCCGCCTCTACAAGCTCCACGCCGGTTTCCGCGTCTTCTGGTTCCACAGCGGAATCGGATGCCAGTGCAGTGAAGGCGCCTGTCGCCAGGTAGTTGCGTTTGTAGGTTGCTTGGAACGT